CGTCCTACCTTGCTACTCCTGCAGGACTGCTGGCGTGCCCTTGCCCGACATTCCTGCCTGCAGGCGTGCCCCTCCGTACCACAGCTCAGAAAGGCCCCTATGGCTCCCAGCGGCAAAATGCGCTGCTCCCAGGTCTCTGCGCACACGGGCCTTCCACCCCCCCGCGGCTCAGCCCCTCGGGAAGTCTCCGTTAAGTTTTCTGCAGACCGTCCGCGGAGGGCTGTCGACGCCCGCTCGCGTCTTTCTCCCTTTAAGCGCCAGAGGGCGCAACAGGGCCGGCGGACCCAGAGGGAGAGAGACTAGGTCGTCACGCAGCAGGGCTGGCCCGCCCCTTTCCCTTCCCAGCCAATCCTTAGTTGGGGTGGGCGGGGCCCCGCGCCCGCGCCTGCGCGTTAAGAGGCGATGGTGGGCGCGGAGAGGCGGAAAGGCGGATATGTGGTGTCCAGCAGCGAAGTCGCGGGTCGTGGAGACCCAGCTGCTGCAGGTGCAGCTGCAGCTGCTGCTGGTCCTCGGAGCGGCCCCGGCGGCGCTCGGGGCTCAGCGCCGCTACAGCCCGGACTGGCCGAGCCTGGACGCCCGGCCGCTGCCGGACTGGTTCGACAAGGCCAAGTTCGGCGTGTTCGTGCACTGGGGCGTGTTCTCGGTGCCGGCCTGGGGCAGCGAGTGGTTCTGGTGGCACTGGAAGGGCCAGGGCTACCCGCAGTACGAGCGCTTCATGAAAGACAATTACCCGCCCGGCTTCAGCTACGCTGACTTCGGGCCGCAGTTCACCGCGCGCTTCTTCGACCCGGACGACTGGGCCGACCTCTTCCAGGCCGCCGGGGCCAAGTGAGTGGGGGTGCGGGGGCCGGCGGGGGATCCTCCTGGGGTCGGAGCCACGCGACGCGGCTTAGGCTGGCGGGAGCCGAGCTGGGGAGGTCAGGCGACTTGCCCAGGGTCACACAGCCATCTGTCTGACTCAAGACACCCCCAGGTCATGTGTTCTGTCCCCTGGAGGATGCAGAATTGAATGTGGCATTCCTGATCATAAGGAGAAGGTGCGTCTGGTTAAGAATCAGAAGAAAATAAAAGTTTCAGGGAGTTGGTGGGTGGGAAAGCCCTGCGCCTCCACCTGTGTGTGGAGAGGAGCGAGCTACCCATTCCAGGTCAACAGGACAGTCAGGGTTTCAGGATTTTAAGCCATGGAATCTGGCCCAAGTTCAACCGTGAACCTGACTAAGGCATTTTACCTCCCTGCAGCCTCCTCCTGTTGCTATGGAGAGGGATTGTATTAGCTCCTTTCAGCTTTAACATCCCCCAGAGGGAAAAGGAGCGGAGTTCTGGTGTGCACTGTACTTGGATTCTCATCCGTCTGCCCTTCTCAGTGGCGTGTACATGAAAGTGCTCAAGAAATGTCTGAAATGTCTTGAGAACTGTTGGAGCTTGCTTGTGCATGGTGCAGAGAACTGAAAGTGCTGGGGTGGGGCCCAGCCAGCGGGCTTTGCGGTTGAGCATCCACCTAGGATCCAGGAGATCCAGGTTCGATTCCAGGTCAGGGCACATGCCCGGGATGTGGGCCCGATCCCCACTGAGGGGCATGCAGAAGGCAGCCGATCAAGGACTCTCTCTCATCATTGATGTTTTTTTTTCTCTCTCTCTCTCCCTTCTTTTCTCTGAAATCAATAAAATATTTTAAAAAATCAACCAATGAATGCATGAATGGGTGGAACAAATCCTTGTTTCTCTCTCCCTCCCTCCTCCTCCCTTCCTGTCTCTTTCTTCCTTCCTTTTTCTCTAAAATCAATTTTTAAAAATCTCTTGTACTAAGAAATTACAACTGACATTTAGTGTATGCCATTAAATGTATGGGAATATAAGGCTGGAATAAACAGAGGAGGTGTTCTCTATCTTCTAGGAGTCTTAGAGATCTATAGTTTAAAAACAAAACCAAAAAAATTAAAATTAAAATCTGGGGAACATCCTTTGTCCAGATCCCTTATTTCATGGACCAGGTGTCTGGCCCAGATAGAGGAAGGGAACTGATGTCCTAGACTCCACATCTCACTACTCCCAGGTAAAGGTTCTTTCCCCATACCGGTCTGCTTACCATGGCCAGAGGGATTGGTTCTCTGCCTGCTTCTCTAAGTTCCATGAGATGAGAATGATTTTTACATTTCAAAAGGGTTATGGCTCACAAAGCCTGAAATACTATCTGGCCCTTAAAGTCTTGGACCTCCCTACACTAGCCAGTGGTTAAATTATCTCATGTGTTTTTTTGCCATAAAAGCAGGTGAAATGTTGAGTGATTTGGTGGTTATTTCAACACTTGTCTTTTCTCCTCAGCTCTTTTGGACTTTTTTCACCTCTGTAAATGAGAGACAATTCATGTGGGCTTGGTAAAACAAATAGCTTGCTTTCCTATCATCTGCTATTTCCAGTAGAGATTTCTTTCTTCTTTAGAGCAAAGGGTTAAGAAAAGCTAATCATTAATTCCTAAAAGGGTTGAAGAAGAGAGCTAAGGTGTGCATCTTTTCCCTCTGGGCTTTCTCCTTGGCTGGGGACTCAGGACTGTGGTTTCCTCAGGTTGCTTCCATTCTGGAGCAATAGCCATGGGGAGCTGTGGCTGCAGCAACTCATACAAGTGCGTTCCCTGTAGGCGAGTGTAAAGATGTTGATGTGAACAAACCGACTCCATCTCTGTAAGCCCCCCACTCTCTCTATTCAAGTTTTTAACTTTGACCAAGCTAACTGTTCCTGGCCAGCATTCATTCACAGGCCTTATAGTTAATGACTACTGTGTTCTGTAAGCCTATACAATGTAATCGTAAAGATTCCTGTCAGTAAACAGCCAGAATGGTAAAGCAGCTGAGACCAATATCAAGCCTAGGTGGCAGTATCGGTTCTAAGCAATTATCCATCATAAAAGAGGTAGGGTTCCTGGCTTGTACTGCATTCTTAGTCCCTGGGCCTTGTCAATCACTAGTAGTTCAGCTGTACTCTAAAACATTTGCTATAATCACTGTAGAGTGCAGAGGATAAGCTGTACAGAACTGCCAGGGTTGTCTACCCACCCTGACCCTACATCCCTGTAACTAAGTTACCCTATCCTGTTATATTCTATGGAGTTGCATGCTTCCTGTTTTGATCTTACGACACGTTTACAGTTCAGTGGTCACTGTACCTCCTCTCCCTGTTCAGACAGTCAGTTCTCCCAACCATTTCCAAAGCCTAGGTCATGCTGTGGAAGTTCATGCTCATGGCCCACTGCCCACTTTCTTGGCTCATAATGGTTTTGATGTTCACAGGTATGTAGTCCTGACAACGAAGCATCACGAAGGCTTCACAAACTGGCCAAGTGCTGTGTCTTGGAACTGGAACTCTAAGGATGTGGGGCCCCATCGTGATTTGGTCGGTGAGTTGGGAACAGCCATCCGGAAGAGGTGTGTGTCTACCACCATCAACCCATCATTCCTTTTTTTTTCCCTTCCATCATTCCTTTTGATCTAGCAGCCATCCAATGACCCATACCTTCTCTACTCTTGCATGTTTTCTGAGTTTGCATTTAGTGAGTAACCTGAAGGGCTTCTGGCCTTTGAATTAATAGTGTTTGATGCTTGGCAGTTTTTATGTGACCAAAAGTGACACCATCAGAGAAATTCATGCCTCTGTCTGGTTGGGTGGAGGATACCCAGTGTAGACAACAATGGCCATTTGTACTCTGAGAAGGATTCTTTCTGGAAAGCCTTCCAACCCAGGTCCTTTTCCAGTGTCTGATGGACACTAAGGACTGCATCTCTTATCTTTGTGTTCCCCTTAGTTGTCAACACAGATCTTTGCAGTCATTCAGGGAAGGTTTGGGTAAATTATAGATCAAGAGGGAACTGAAAAGCATGGTTAAAGCAGCAAAAAGTAAGGTAAGGAGACACTGGGTTGATTCTAATTAATGCTCCCTAATATTTGCCACATAAGAAGTAACTTCCCAAGATGAAAGAGCTAGGAAGTGGCAGAGGTAGGATTTGAACTCAGGCAATTCTGGTTTGGGACCCTACACTTCCGAGTATGTTCGCCTATACGGAGGAAAAGTGGTATTTGTGCCATGCCCAGTCTCAGCTCTGTTGTGATTTGGTAAACTTGATGTCCTGTTTAGGGGGTGGGCCAGCTAGCTGCCTGTTTGTGTAAAGGAAATTTGATTGGAACATAGCTATGCCCATTCATTTATGTGTTGTCTATGGCTGCTTTTAAGCTACAATTTCAGAGTTAGGGTAGAGACCACAAGGCCTGCTGCAAAGCCTAAAATACTATCTGGCCCTTTAAGAAATTGTGTGCTGACTCCCGTCACCTGTCCAATATTCAGTTTCCCAATAATGTGCTTAGATAATAGTCCTGCTGTAAAACTCCAAGGCACTGATTAGATCCAGACTTTAGGATACTTGATTGTCTTCCTTGTGTGTATTTAGTTCCCGAGTCATATGAAACAACCTCAGCTCTTTCTGCCTTATCTGTGCCATTACCTCACTTCTTACTTGCATCATAGTGTTTCTGTAACATGCACCAGTCTTAACTCAAAACAAGTTTCTTGTGTATGAAAATAGGTCACTGTAGTCAATCTTAGATAAATGAAACAATAGACCTATATTCATTCACTTCAACTACATGGAAACATGGAAAATGTTACTAATGATTATTTCTGAGTGATACGATTTCGGATGTCATTCTTTATACTTTTCTCTATTTTTCAATATCTCTGCAATACATATTCTTATGATAGAAAACATTTTTAAAAAATGGATTATATGTTATTATTGAGATAATCGACTTAAAAGTTAAAAGATGGTTTAAATAACGTTGGATGTTAAGATATTTATGTATAAAAAGTAATTATGTGTACTATCAAAAACCTAGTAAACCCAGTTGTTTCAATTGAATGATAAGAGGTCATTTAAATTAATGGTTTTGGATCCCACCTGCCTTGCAAAGCCCTTATGGGTGCGTTTCACTGAGATACAAAAATGCTGCCACTATTTTTAAGTGAACTATTTTTTCTTTGTTTAATGACAGCTGCTGTCCTGTTTTTCCATTTTAGGAACATACGCTATGGGCTGTATCACTCACTCTTTGAATGGTTCCACCCACTTTACCTGCTTGATAAGAAAAATGGCTTCAAAACACAGTATTTTGTCTTTGGGAAAACGATGCCAGAGCTGTACAACCTTGTGAACAGGTAGAACACGGAGGTGTCTGTGGCCTTATGACTTTTCTCAATGAAATCAGAAAAGTTGGGGGGAAAGGAGAAAAAATGAGAAGTGAAAAAAATCTAGAGGACATCAGAATAATAAAAGTGGTGGTTGTACTGAGACAAAATCTGTTTTTCCTCCTTCTCTTCAAAACTCTCATAGTGTGCTCATATTACCTTTATAAATGGAAACAATCAAACAGAACCCAGGATGGTAGTAAGTCAGAACTTCAGTTCCCTGCTTGTGGGCCATTTTCTTTGTCAGGACCTTGGAGACCCTAGACCCTGCCTGGGATTTGGCAGGGGGCAGATTTGCATTTGCATCCTGGCTCTTGTTACTTACAAAGCCTTAACCAGATCACCCTACTGAGCCTCAGATTCTCACTGTGACGTGGGGGATAACAATGCCTTCTTATTTTTTTAATGTTATTTTTTTTAAAAATATGTCTTTATTTCAGAGAGAGGAAAGGAGAGGGGGAGAGAGAGAGAGAAACATCAATGGTGAGAGAGTCATTGCTCAGCTGCCTCCTGCACGCCCCCCACTGGGGATCTAGCCCGAAAGCCGGGCATGTGCCCTGACTGGGAATTGAACTGGTGATCTCTTGGTTCCTGGGTCTATGCTCAACTGCTGAGCCATGCCAGCGTAGCTGAAGCACCATTCTTTTAGTTGGAATTAGTTGCTGGAACGAGGCCAGATTATGTAATACTGACTACAACTCTACTTTTTAAAAAGATATTTTTTTAAAAAAGATTAGGGGGAAACATACCAAAATGCTGTGTATTAAACAGTGGTTATGAGAGCAGAGGCATTTTTTGGTATGTGTGGTTGTTTTTGTCTCTTTAGTTTTCCACATTCTCTGCACTGTGGTAATTTTATGGTGCTTCCTAATGGGAGAAAGTTTATTTTTAAATATCCGTTGCAAAAAAATGATTTGTAAGACTACTGTGAATGGATTCAGGTAATGAACTTTGTCCTAATTGCATGTCTTTCAGGTATAAGCCTGACTTGATTTGGTCTGATGGAGACTGGGAAAGTCCTGATACTTACTGGAACTCTACAGATTTTCTTTCTTGGCTCTACAGTGATAGCCCAGTCAAAGTATGTGATTATATGACTTATTTCTTATCTTTGTGATAAAAGACAGTATTAGGAGTCAAGATCTGGAGTAATAACAATAATAATAAATAGTAATATCACCATGGGGCCGCTAGGGGCCCAGGGACTTAACAGATGTTGCAGGTCTCTCCTTTAATTCTTTTTCCCCTTCCTTGAAGTATAAACTTTATTTTTCTCCTTTAATTCTTGATTTTTACAACACAGGTTTAAATCTTGTTAAAATTAATATGCCAAACAAATGAAATTAAGTGATAGGAGTAGAATGCAAATATCTATGACCTCACCTACTCTGTTGATTATGTAGTTTAACTCTCAAGGGGAAATTTTATTTCCCTTATATCCAGATTATTATTATTATTTTAAATATGTCTTTATTGACTTCAGAGAGAGGGAGAGGGAGAGAGAAAGAAACGTCAATGATTAGAGAGTCATTGATTGGCTGCCTCCTGCACGACCCCAACTGGGAATTGAACTCGCAAACCCCAGCATGTGCCCTGACCGGGAATCGAACTGTGATCTCCTGGATCATAGGTTGATGCTCAACCCCTGAGCTACGCCCAGCTGGGCTATATCCAGATTGAGGGGACTTTGTCTTCCTTCCCCATCCCAGTCAACACTACTGCACTGCATAATAGCTGTCCATTTGCGGTTTGTATTTTGGTACACTTACGAAGTAGCAGAAGTCTTAATTCTCACTCTTGAAAATTTCAAAAATGTTACATATTCTGGATTTGTTGTAGATCTAGAAAGATCTAAGCCTCTTATTGGGTAACTATTCCTAAATTCAGAAAATGGAAAGAAAGAAAAAAGGAAAGAGATCCTGTATGACAAATATGATAAGTGAAGAGTAGTTTTCTGGGGACTTGCCAAATGTGTGGGGACTTTTAGTGGCACAGCATCATGGGTCCCCGCCAGGGGTCCTCACACTGGGTGGCTCAGCTGTGGACCTTGGGTGGGACGCTGCTGACCCTGGTTTTCCACCGTTGTTCTGAATGCTTTCTCGTGCGTTAGGAAAGAGGGCTATTTTGGAGCGATAGTCACATCAGGAAAGCATTTTCAGGAGTAGCCCCTTTTCCTTACCATTCCCTCTGGTCTATTTAGAGCAGCTGCCCCGCCACCCTAAAATTGCAGCATGCCCCTGCCACACTCCATGTCTTTCCCTGCTTTCTCTCTCTTAGCACTTACCTGGTCTAACATATTCCAGGTATCACTTACATTGTTTAGTATCTGTCTCTCACTGAAGTGTTAGCTTTATATTTTATAGGGGAAAGGGTTTGGGTCTGTTTATTGCTATATCCCCAACCCTTAGAACGGCATTTGGCCTAGTTAGGGACATAATAATATTGGTCGAATGTAAACTAGATGTGGCTCCTGACAATTTATACTCTTCCCTGGCAGTATTAAGAAACATCCTGATCAGTTGTCCCCCATTTACGTTAATCCGCAGGAAATTACCTGTGATGTGATGTCATAATACTGTTCACACATCTGTCTCCTCAGCTGGTCTCTGCTGGATCTCGGAGGGCAAGGACTGTATTTTATTCACCAGAGGTACCCCAGCATGAGCCTCCTAGTGGTAGTAAACATTCACATTTAGATATTACGTGTAATGATTTCTCATGGTTCAGCTAAACGTTGAAGGAAAAAAAAAGAATATTTGATAGCTGACTTTCTTTTCCTGGGTCATGTAATAGAAAGTGTCCTGGGCTGGGTTCAGATATCTGATTTATAGGCCCAGCTTTTGGAAACTACCTGGGGATATTACCTCAGACAAGTCTTCTCTCCATTTCTCCTCTAATAAAATAAGTGGTTTACAAGATGATCTTTAAAACAGGTGCTTCCAGCTCTAACGTTACAGGTCACTTGACCAGGGTTTCTCAGCTTCTGCAGTATTGACTTTTAGGGCTGAATATCTTCTTTGTGATGAGGCTGTCCTTGATATAAAAGGTTTAACATCATCCCTGGCCCCTACCCACTAGATGGCAGAACCAGTCACCCTGTGACAACCCAAAATGTCTCTTGGCTTTGCCAGATTCCCCTGGGGCAAAATGGCCCTCAGTTGAGAACTACTGTGCTAGACTCAGTCTGTTCCTCGCTTCCAATAGACTCCTAAGTTATCACACTGCATCACGGAAGGTAAGGCGTACCCTTGGTGACCCCTACTCCTCCCTCCTGTAGGATGAGGTAGTGGTAAACGACCGATGGGGTTTCAACTGTTCTTGCCACCACGGAGGCTACTACAACTGTGCAGATAAATTCCAGCCGTCGACTTTGCCGGATCACAAGTGGGAGATGTGCACCTCCATAGACAAGCGGTCCTGGGGCTACCGTCGCACCATGTCGATCTCTGACGTTGCAAGTGAATCTGAAATCATTTCGGTAAGACACCTGTGAGTTAGCTGTTTGTTAGCTGCCATCTCAAACCAGCCTCTCACCGAGCGGGCGGAAGCACTGCCGATGCGCGTGCAGGTCGATGGAGCCTTTAGGGTACTGGACATACTCAAAGAACCCTGTCCTGAGGGAACCACTGTGATTACTGAACAGAGTTTTATGTACAGGTATGTCTTCAGTTGGACCTATGGGTTGTTTCCATTTCTTGCAACCACAAAGGAATAGTTCAGTAGATTTGTCCTTAATTGTTAAAACGTTTATTAATGTAATATGGGTTAATACTTAGAGGATTGAGTAAAAAAATAAGCTACGTATTATCAACAATATAAAATTAATTACATAAGAAAAAGACCAAAAAGAAACATAAAAAGTTAACAGTATGGTGTCTTTGGGATACAGTAACAAATTCTCCTTTTTAAAATTTTCTGTATATAACCTTAATTTTTCTAGGCCACCTTGAAGTGCGCCTGTTCGAGGTCCCAGTAAACAAGTAAACATGCACATCCCACTTTAGAAGCCTTGAAGAATATACATTAGTCCTTCCCTATTCTCTGGGATACGTTCTCAGACCCCTAGTGGGTGCCTGAAACCAAGGAGAGTACCGAACCCTGTTTTCTCCTATATTATATATACTTATGATGTTTAATTTATAAATTGGACACAGTAAGAGATTAACAACTAATAATAAACTAGAACAATTAGAACAATATACTGTAATAAAAGTTATATGAATTTGGTCTCTCCCAAAATATCTGACTACACTCTACTTACCCTGCTGGTGATGATGTGAGATGATAGGATGCTTATTTGATGAGATGAAGGGAGGTACTCAGAACAGTGTGCAATTTAAAACTTACGAATTGTTTATTTCTGGAATTTTCCATTTAATATTTTCAGACTGAGGTTGACCGTGGGTAACTGAAACCATGGACAGCAAAACCGCAAATAAGGGGGGACGACTGTATCTCTTTACAACATGTTTTCCCGACAGGGCAGCATATACATTTATATAGCCCATTGCATACAGAGTGTAGTGTCCTGGAATTCTTCAGATCTCTTCTATCTCCCCAAAGTCTCCACAGCATCCCCTCATAACCTCTTCTCTCTGACCCCCGTGTTCTCTCTGTGTGGCTCCATGTGATTGATCCCTTTATGGCCAAATGCTTTGTTCTCAGCTCCTGCTCCTACTCTGTGCTTCTGACACATCACCCTTCCCACTGCCTCCGGCACCAGGAAGGACAATCTCACCAGGAAGTGCCATGATCACTCCCTGAAATTCAGATTAATAGGTTTCTCCATCTTGTAGCAGGATTTTTCCATTTTCTTATGTAATCCTGTCTTGCTTTTATAATGACAAAAATGTATAGTATTTTTAAAAGGGTAAAGGACATTCACAAAGCAGGGAGAGTATGTGTCCTAGATTCTTTTTCTTGATAGCTGTGTGTTCTAGGCACTATGCCAGGCTTGGAATTTATAACTAGGATTTTGTTGTTTCTGCTCTTTCCAGGAATTGGTTCAGACAGTAAGTTTGGGAGGAAACTATCTTCTCAACATTGGGCCAACTAAAGATGGACTGATTGTGCCCATCTTCCAAGAAAGGCTGCTTGCTGTTGGGAAGTGGCTGAGCATCAGTGGGGAGGCGATCTATGCCTCTAAACCGTGGAGGGTACAGCTGGAAAAGAACGAATCTGTATGGTGAGTCCCTGTCTTCTGTTGAGTGCGGGAGCGGGACTGTGGCCCATCCTGACCTGGCATCTGTGTGGGTCCACAAGATTGGAAGCCACACTGGAAGTTGTCTTCCAGAAACCCCAAAGCTGTTCTTTTGCTCTTCATTTCTATCCCAGTTTATGACTTAAGCCACCAGGATATCTTTCACTAGTGAGGGCGGTGATAGCTTGGTATAGAAAGCACCAGTCCCTTTACTTGACACTTTACCCCGTCTCCCTAAAAATAGTAGCAGCTAATAGTTGTGTAGCACCTGCAACGTGCAAGGCTCCCTTCTAAATTCTTTCCACCGACTTAATGCCCTCAACAAGCCCACCAGATAGATGCTGTTATCCCCATCTTACAGGTGAGAAAGGGGCCCAGAGCAGTAATATAACTTCACAGAGCTAGTAAATGCAGATGTCATGATTCATACTTGGAACTGTGGGTCTAGTTCTTTGATCTCGGGCCTCAGTTTTTTGCAACTGCAAAATGGGGTGATGATTAACTTCCTAGAGCTGTTGTGAGGGTTAAAGGAGATAATGTATGTAAAGCTTCCAGCGGAGTACCAGGCATATAGGGGGTGTTTAATAAAAGGCACCTACTACTGTTACACCATAGAGCTTAGGCCCTTGGGTCAGGGGAAACACGCTCATCCCTGTTTCGGATGAGCTTCTGCTTGTGACTTTCAACCTCATCTCTAGGCGTTAAATCTCAGAGCAACAAATCTGTCTTCATTGCACGTCTTGCCCTTCTTATATCCTCTGGTGTTTTTCACATGGATTTGGAATTGAAAAAATATTGGAATAATAAGGCAAATGGTCTCAGTGTGAAATAACTACTATAAGAGTTTAAAATTTTTTCAAGAAAACTTATAACCCAATAGAGAGAGAAAAGAGAAAATATCATCAGAAAGAAGCTGCTTTCTTCCCACAGACCTTAGTTGGTGTTGAGTTCTTAGTGCTTCCTAGTATCGGTGACAGACACAAGGTCTTGGAACTGGTAGGTAATAGGGGAATGGATAAGATTATGTGTATGTCCCGAGGTGTCAGAGTAACAAGCCAGGTATCTTTGACAATGATGTTTCTTTTTCCCCAGGTATACCTCAAAAGAATCAGCTGTTTATGCCATTTTCCTGAACTGGCCAGAAAATGGAATCTTAAGCCTTAAATCCCCCAAAACTACCTCCACTACACAGGTAAAGGGCCTCAGTCAGTCCTTCCAGAGATGTAACTTTTTCTAAAGGAATTGGCAGGTCTTTTCTACTTCTTCCTTCATCCCCCAAGTTTCTCCCATATTTATTCCGCTTTAGACCGCCTTCCCTTCCCTGGTCCAGCTTGGTTGTTTTCCACCATGCGTGGGCTGTATTTTGTGCTCATTAATGCATTCATGTTTTTTCCATCAACTTTGTGTTTCTTCAGGTAATGATGCTGGGAGTCCAAAAAGATCTGAAGTGGTCCACAAATCCACATGAAGGCCTCCTCATTTACCTGCCCCAGTTACCACCCTCTGCTCTCCCAGTTGAGTTTGCTTGGACCATAAAGATGACAGGAGTGGAGTGATCATTAGCATTCAAGAGGAAAGGGACACTGCCTGCCGTTCACTGTTTTGATTTTCTTCTTACAGTACCGTCATCATAATAAACTACTCTTCTCTACCCAGAGATGGCTTTTGCAACACATTTTAATCAAAGGAACTGAGTGCATTACTCTGATGTCTCAGTGGATCAAAGATTTGAGTCACCTTGCTAGTGTATCTCTCTCTCACCAGCAGAAGGAACTAAGCAATTAAAGCTCTGAGTTCATTCTTTCCTAACTGGAAATGATCTACAATGGAACCTTCCTCCCATCCTCTGTTAGATGACCAGCTCACTTAATGACTTCAGACAAAGAATAAGCCAGTTCACCTTCTTGCCTATGGGAAGGGGTTTAAGGGGTTTGGCAACCTCAACCACACGCTGTTTATTTAGCATTCACTATCACCAGCACCCCTGGAAGGAGCAGGAGAGCCTGGAGGGAAAAGAGAAGGCTTGCTGTCTAACAGTTTCCAAAGCCAACTAAGGGCTCTGAAATTCAGTCTGCGTACAGTGATACTATGAAGAAAATAGATGTGATTCTGCCCTGCTTTTTAAAATACAATCAAATAAATAAATTTTAATGTCAAATGATTTCTACCAAAAAAACATGATAGCTTTCTTCCCTCAGTTTCTATATAGACTGCTTATAGCTTTTTGTCTCTGTGTTCAGAGAGAGGGAGGGAGAGGGAGAGAGAGAGAAACATCAATGATGAGGGAGTCATTGATCAGATACCTCCTGCATGCCCCTCCACTGGGGATCGAGCCCGCAACCCAGGCATGTGCCCTGACGGAATCGAACGAGATCTGGATCCTAGGTCCATGTTCAACCACTGAGCCATGCCCAGCCAGGCTTGTTTCTGTGTTTTAAAAGGGCCAGCCACATCTCCTTAATGCAGAACAAAAAAAGTTATTTCTTTGGTTTCCTTTTCCTCACTTCCAGTATCACATTTTAAAATTGATTTTTAGAGAAAGAAGAAGGGGGAAAGAGAGAAACATTGATGTTAGAGTGGTTTGTAGTTTTCAGTGTACGAGTCTTGAAAGTATTTTTGGGTCTCAAGATGCAGGTTTGAGAATTCTGTGAATAGTGCTTTACCTGTTCTGATGGAGGAAGTTGTCAGTGCTGCAGAAGCATAACAGAACACATCTCTTCACTTCCTGGCTAAAATCTGAGCCTTTGAAGGCACAGACAGTACCTTCTCTGCCTCCCCTGAGAATGCCTTTTTGTGCACTCACCTGTTGGAGATCCGCTCACCCAGTAGCCACCGTGACTATTTACAAAATACAGATTTGATCACTTCTGCTTAAAACCCTTCAAATGCATAACTATTAAGATAGCTGTTATTTTTTTTAAATCTTCACCCAAGGATATGTTTTGTTTTTAATTGATTTTAGAAAGAGAGGAAGGGAGAGAAAGAGAAACATCAATATGAGAAACATTGATCCATTCCCTCCTGTACGAGGGAATCAAACCCACAACCTAGGTATGTGCCCTGACCAGGAATGGAACCGACAACCTTTTGGTGTGTGGGAAAACGCTCCAGCCAACCAAGCCACCCTGCCAGGGCAGGATAGCTGTTATTAATATAAACCTCCAAAGCCATGTGGTATGGTCTCTGCCAATCTCTCCCATCTTAATAGGAAGTCCCCTTTCTACTCCCTCCCTGCTCTCCAATCATTCTGGCCTTCTTTTCATGTTTCCAAACAATGTTTTTCAAACATTTCTAATTGCTATCTACAGTAAGAAATTTATCTGACATTGCAACCTAGTTGACACATATAACAAAAGTTTTGCAAAGCAGTACTTAATACTTATACAATGCACTCTGATATTTCCTAATCCATTTCTATTGTTTTAAGTTGGCGTCCACTAAGTTGATATTATGACCACAACATGTATTTTGAAAAACACTGCTCTAAGCATTCACTTTCTTTGCCCCAGGGTCTTTGCATATGCTATGCTCACTGTCTGGAAAGCTTTTCTTGTATCCTCTTTACCTGCATGGATCTAACTAATTCTTCAAGGTATGAAATCAAAGGATGCATCTCTCTCTGGAGTCAACTGCCTGCATTTGAATCCTGAAGTTCGTGATAAGTTAATACATGCAAAGGACTCAGAACAGTGTGTGGCAAATAGTAACGCTTCATCTTATTATTGTGAAAGGTATTTATACAACTATTCGTGTGATTGTTGTGAATGAAAAAGGGGCCACATACTAAACCTGACAAGCTCGGGGAAGGAGGAGGCACATGGCAGGCCTTACAAACTGGTGACCGAAAGGAACCATACAGGAAGGTCTGAACACAAAAATTCCTAACTAAAGCGGGTCATGGTGGTTATTCACGTCACAGGCCTGTAGCTTCCTTCACAAAGGTCGGTCTGTAGGTTAAGTGAGCCTATATATTGTCTTTGTGTGTCCAGGATGACATACCTTTGAAATGTCAGAGTACTTTTCCAGACCCCTCCAAGGCACAACTGGCACCAGAGCACAAGTCCACCAGAGCAGACCACAGAGTCCCCTCGTTACGTCCACACACCATCTCTGTGTACTGTACACGGTAATTATTAACTACCCTGTACCCACCAATGTAAAAGAAGTGTCTCTCTGTTTTGCTTTGTAACCAGTCCTAGCGATTTCCTCCTGTTCTGCTTCCGTCTGCCTCCTCAATCCACCACTAATAGATTTCATGTAACATTATTTTAATGTATAAAATAAACTCCAAAACTACCATTCTCCAGAGCTACTCAATTCATTAAGGTTTTTGCTTCCTGGCATGTCCTCAAAATTTGGCTCAAATAAACTATTTTTTTGTTTTTGTTTTGTTAATCCTCACCTGGGAATATTTTTCCCATTGTATACAGAGAGTAGAAGGGAGGCAGAGAGAGAAACATCAATGTGAGAGAGACATCAACTGGTTGCCTCACCCAGGGGCTCCAACCCAGCGGGTGATCAACCCCGCCAGCCAGGCACGCGCCCTTTTGGTGCTCAGCCCACGGACGCTCTAACCACTGCGCCATACCGGCCAGGGCTCAAATAAACTACTAAAAGACTTTTATGGGCTGGCGGTTCCTTCACGGACATTGTTACCACACGTCCCGGACTCTAACCCTATTAAGACAGGAACTTTAGTTAACTTTTGTCCATCATCACAGTCCTAGCGCCTCACCTGTCCGGGCAGCGCAGCGGGAGCACCCGGGGACCTGGGAGGAAGAGCCGACCGGAAGGAAGGACGGCGGAGCGCCGGGGGCGGAGCCAGCGCAGGGCGTTGCTCCAGAGGCCCGCCCCAAAGGCGGGGCCACGCGCACGCCCACCCGGGGGCGGGTGGTCACGTGGGCCTCAGGGCGCCCTCTCCGGAGTCGGCTGAACCAAGATGGCGACAGTGAGGGGGCAGCTGCGGCAGAGACTGGTGGGCTTGGCGTCCGTCAGGGCTGTAAGTGCCACGGCCCGGGAGGGGCGGCCACACAGGCGCCGTGACGCTCGGGGTCGGGGGCTTGGCTCGTGTCGGCTGCTCCCGGAGAGGTGAAGCCAGACCGCATTTTAGGTCAGAGTCAGGTGGACCTTCAAGTCTTAGACCCTCTGTGTACCCCAAATCCCTTGAAGGGTATGGTGGAAACTGAGGCCTGGGGGGGGGAGAGTGACCTGCCCCGGTCGTCCCAGGTGTGCTGATTCCCCGTTCAAGGCTCATGCCGGTGACCCTGGCACCTTTCTCCCTATAATCGAGCTTAAGACCTGTCCAAGCTGTTGCTTAGTGAAAACTCACCAATACCCTCCGGTTCCGAGGGGGAAAAGCAAGGGCGTCGCCTCCCTCCCCTCGGTGCTCAGCTGTTAGGCAGCTGGGAGTGAGTCTGGGCTTCAGGACGTTGCGAAGGGGCCCGTACTGGGAGCATGGCGCTCTTGTTTATTCCTGCTTCTAAGTGAAATATTCTTTCTGCTCTTAATTCTAAGGCAGACGAAATGTGAATTAAATGGTGAGAAATCTGGCTTCTGGTCTCAGTATTAGTGAAGATGGATCCATTCCTTCAGATTTGCCCCCCTGGGGATTTCCCCTCCACTTCATGGAGTTTGTTTTCGTTATGCAGTATCTACAGTTAGTCACACAGGGAGAAGGGAATAAAAGAGAAGTGTAAGTTAAGTGTTTAAGTTTGTTTAGGTATTACAATAATAAGTTCCGAGCCCTGCCGGGGTAGCTTAGTTGGTTTGAGTGTCCTCCCCATAGGCCAAGGTTGCAGGTTCCATCCAGGTCAGGGGGGGTTTGGGAATCAACCAATGAATGTATGAATTAGTAGAGCAACAACTTGATGTTTCTCTCTCTCTCCCCCTTCCTCTCTCTAAAAAGCAATTTAAAACATTTAAAATAAATAAATATAATGAGTTCCACAACTTACCCCAAAAAATTACGGCAAGACACCACTCTAATATATTGCACAGCAAGCCCCATTGGCCACTGTGGGAAAAGCAAAGTGCTTTAATTCCTTATAAATTCAAGAAGATGGGGGGAGGGGGCAGAGCAGTTGAAAATGCCTTTGTGAAGGGTGTTATTATTAACCTACCCAGAAATAAAGGTGGTGCTGGGCTGGGGGGGCATAAAAGAGAACATTTTCTTTGTATGTCATGTAACCCTTCCCAACTGAGACACTAGCTGCCTATGGCTGCTATAGCAAATTCTCACAAACTTGGTGGCTTAAAACAAAAACATTCACATCCCCCCCCACCCCACCCTGCACGCCAATTCTGGAGGTCAGAAATCAAGGTGTTAGAGGAGAATCCATTCCTTGTCTCTTGCAGCGTCTGGGCACTGTCAGTATTTCCATGGCTGGCGCTGCATCACTCCAGTCTCTGCCTCCGTGGTCACATCGCTGCCTCCTTGTGTGCGCGAGCACGTGCTTGCATGTGCCCCCTGGGGAATTGTGACACTGTACGTGTAACTTTTTGTTTCTTCTTTTAAACCAAAGGTCAGCACCTCATCTGTGAGTACTTTACCAAAGCAGGTGAAAATTGTGGAAGTTGGTCCCCGAGATGGACTACAAAATGAAAAGGTAAAGTTGGAAATCAACTAAAAAAGTTTTCTTTTGAGCATTGAGAGTTCATGTGGTAGGTGCAGCAGGGATGGACAGAGCTATGCAAGACATGACCACTCTGCTCAATTGAAGACATGGGCAGGGAGAACAGTGACAGTTCAGCAACCTAAGATGGTGATGTACAGGTGTGGTAGCCCCAGGTCCATTTCAAGGCCTGGGGGGTGTGTGTGTGTGGATGATGAGTGCTGGGGGAAAGTACGTGAAGGGGGG